ATCAAATGTTGAATCCCTGAGAAATAAAGACGTGATTTTTTGTTCTCGTGCGGACATCTTGGATTCTTGTCTCACATAGACAGCGCCATACTGATGAGACCACATTGACTTAAAAAAATTAAATTTTACTCGTAAAATTCTGTTTTCCATATTTTGAATTTATGTCTTTTTATATTGCATATAGTAAAGTATTTTACCGTACGAAATGTACGTCTGTCGTAATGTATCGTTATAATTAATACATTCCAAAAAGTGATTGTTTTTGTAAAAAGCAGAAAACTCACATGAACGCGTTTTCTGATTTTCTCCCAATTCTGGTGGAATACATTTCTTGAAAGTTTGCATCTTTCCTACAGCAGCGAACTGAAGAGAAACAGTTATAAAAGTAACTCCAAGATTTAACAAAAGAGCACGACTTGTCCTGAAGTTATCTTTCGCGGTGTTTATTTTTTGTCTCAATTCTCCACCGTTGTTGGCGTTCGTAAGCCTTCCTGAGAGCTTATTACGGATATTCTCATATCCATTACGAAAGTTCGGAAATTGCATTTTTCGCCAGATTCTAATAACTTTTCCAAATGTCAAATTGATATTTCTTTTTTGTTTTGGCTGCATTGTGTGCTCTTGTATAATTTATCACAAAAAGTGTAGACGCGCTTACTCCGCGGGCAACATACATTCAAGGTCGAAGAGAAAGGAACGTAATGCGCTAAATACACACAGAAGGGACAAACAATAGTACAAGGTATACATATTAGAATAACAGATAATGCAAGATAATGAACACGCATTGAAATAACATGGAGGCGTCGTTAGAAAGGTATTTTTTCCGACCATGAGACCCGGGTTCGAATTTCACCATGTTCCATTTGTAAGAATAGTTCTTATCGTTCTAAATTAAGGGCTGGAAAAAATATACCATGGGTTGACCCAAGCTTTGTAAGTGAAACTAGGTTCAAATTTCGTTGATAATTGCACCATAATGAAGTCAGATGATCATCATAGTTTACGGTTTAAACGTACTGAATTTGTTCAAAGTATTGATCAAACAAGATGATACTTTCTTTCCCAGAAAATGTAACTACGGCTTGCTCAGTATAGTTGACGAAAAATCCACAAATCTGCTATGTGGATTTTGAACAAAAGCGAATGGCGTCTGCAACAGGAATTGGTTACTCGTCCTAGCAGACGAGTGTAACGGGAAACGAGCAACTGCTCGTTATTTAAGCAGAGTACGGAGCATGTTGAAAATTATTGTCAAAAGTAAAACGATCCTGTAAACCTTCTGAAGCTGTCAGCTTTTTGTCCTTATCAACCATGACCTGGTTTAGTCATAGAGTCACTGGGTACCTGGCATGCTTCCTTCGCAAATCTTCGGTGTGAGCCAATATTCTAGTATCTGCGAAAGAGTTTCCAGTTAACTCACACACGCTATCAGTCCATTTTTACCTCTGTCTTCCTCTTCATCTATTGCGTAATCGGTAACTTGTCGCATGTGAGAGGAAAGAGTTTGGGCTTTTCGTTCAACCCTTATCGAAGACGTTCGTTGAAAACCGTAAACAAACCGTAAACTATTAAACATTTAAATATATTTCTCATTAAAAACATTCTAAGATATTTCAGTAATCTCAAAACAGACGGAACTGAAGTTATACTGAATAACTTTATGGAATAATATAGTTTTTTCTAGCAAACAAACGTTTAGCGTCGATGAAATGAAAAACAATTTCAGAAACTTCAAGAGGAAAGACTTTTAAATCCCTTCGAATATTGAAACAATCGCCGGAGAACGTATTAACATAGAGTAAATTGGGACAACGATATATAAATGTTTATATATCAGAACAATTTTAGGAGGATCTATGACAAAGTGGGAATATATTTTGTTTGACAGAACAAAACACTAAATGCTTTAGTTGTTCACCGTAATAAATCTGATTTTAAAGAAACGTTACTCTATTTAAAAGAGAAAGAAATTTAATAGATCGAAATATATAAAAAGGGCTTTAATCGCTAGATAAGCCACAGTAAATGTACGTCCACGTTCTTACAAAATCTCACGTTTTTTTGACAGATCTTCTAATATGACAATAGTTAATAATTAACAAATGTAATAAAACATAAACAAAAAGAAATTAAATCTTCTAGACTGTATATCAAAAAGAGATATTAAAAAACATAAATTTAAAATCCCCAGCTTCCTCTGTCCTTCGTGCCAATGTCTAGATGCATCAATGTAAGCATCTCGATGAAGTCCTAAAGGCTAAAACGGGACACACGAGATCATTTCCCGTTTGTCATAGATTTCCTTATAATAGAAGATATGGGATAGATGCCTGCTACAAATTTAACACCACTAAGTGTTAATGAATTCTTTATAATCATGGCATCTTTAGAAATTCCATGGACATTATTTGTAATTTAAGTGTAGACAATAAATAATTTCTTGCGTACTAGAAAATCATTGATCCACATTATAAAATCTTATCAAATTTCAGAACAAAAGGTATTATTTTTTTACAGAAATATACACTCAATTTATTAGTTGCTCAACTGACTAACCATAATTCTGATTAAAAAAAAATTCTTCTTTAATTAAAAGTGAAAACAATTAACGAAGATGAACATGCATAGAATGTACTTTGATTTAGATTACTTACCGTAGACTTACGTCCGGGTTTTTTTTCACCGTCCCTGGCAGATATTTTATTATCACAATGTGCGATATTTAATAACAAAATTGCTAAAAAGATAAACAAAATTAAAAAAATAAACTAGAAGCTAAATATCGACTCGACTACATACCCAAGAAAATATTTAGAAAAAAAAAAACAATTTAAAATTTTAGAGTCCTCCTCTCGTTCAGGCATATGGAAACATCACGTGTGTCGAATGAAATGCGTCACACGAATTTTTTTTCCTAAAACAGACTAAATTATCAATTGGATATTGGCCAATCACTGAACTCGACGTCGAGTCGGTATTTCAACACTTTTTGTTTAATAATTTAGAGTGACCAACGATGCTCTTTTATTATTGTTGATCGAAAACTGGCCACGTATGATCATTTGCTCTACCTTTTTCTTTTAGACTAATTATTAACATGTCTTTATATTTATATTACTGGCGTCATTATTCTCAGATACCCAGTAACAACAGGTAAGGTTGGTATCCTGACATGACAAATTCTACTCTTTTTGCTGGCATTGCGAAAGAACTCCATGACAGCTATAAATATTTTGTCAAAATATCCGCGTTTTAAACAGATTCTTCCCAACGAGCCTATCGTTTCTTTCAAACAAATTAAAAACGTTATGTTTTGGTCACACTCAAAATAGTCATAGAAGGAGAAAACCCTGTTTGTTTTGTAACAACATGAGTCAAGTTAATTCTATCGCAAATTCAGTGAGAAACATCACGGTTTCTTTACAAGGTGGCAATTATGCAGATTAACGTTTAGCATACGCCGCCTCTTGTACTAAGCATGACTTGGTTTATGTGGATTTAGCTTAATGGTAAAAAATAAATAAAAGATTTCATTGATACAGGTCTGGTGTCAGACACAATAATGTCACATCAACGGAGCTTGTGGAACATTTTATAGCAAACAATTGTAATTTTGACGAACATCTTAAGGTGCATTTTCTGAAAAAAAATATTCAAAGTCCACCGACCTTGACATATGCAAATTACTAACTTCCCGAATCAAGGGAGTAAACATAATGACGGCAGAATTCCACAGGATTTATACTAAGTTGTTTGATTAATTCCTCTTAGTAATTAATCACCTAACGGAAAATTTCAAAATGAGCAAGCTCGTCATCATGTTACGTACGTTTTAGTTACATGCCATTTACGCTGCCTGTCATTCGTTTTAACACGATGATTACAAGTACAGCCGTTTCTCTCAACGCAAACGGCGTTATAGTTTTTTGTATATATTTTATATCTGTATACCTCTATGTAAATTTTAAACATAATTTGAAGAAGACAGATACGCTGTCGAAATATTGTTGGACATTGTCAAACACTGTATCCTTTTTTTTTTCTTGAATCACTTTCTTCTTTAAGTGTTCAAAAATATTGGAAGAGATAGGTCAATTATTTTGTTTGTTCATTTAATAATAATAATAATAATAATAATAATAAGAAGAAGAAGAAGAAGAAGAAGAAGAAGAAGAAGAAGAAGAAGAAATTAACTTCTTCACATGATACTCAAAAATAGCACTGAGGGAAACGCCTTTATTATTATTATTATTATTATTATTGTTGTTGTTGTTGTTGTTATTATTATTATATTTTGTTTTCCGTTTAGTACAATGGCTTACCACGTTAATATGCAAATATTAAAAGAAAGGAATGTAGTAAATATATGCATTCAGATGTTAAGTGATACTTAAACAATGCATATTGTTTAAAATAACATTCCTTTGATTATAGTTTTTGAAAGATGGGCAGTTCCACACTGTGCAATTATTATTATTATTATATGAACTTCTGTGTCTTTACATTGGCTATCGCCAGAAATTGAATAATTCAAAGCAACCTTTAATCTGCTTCCCATTCCTCAGTGTTTGGGCAGACGTCAGCAATACTGTAAACAGGACATTTTCAATTCTTTCGAGAATCACGACTTCACCTTGATTCTAGCGTATGTAACACGCTTCCAAGTACGCTAGTCTTAATTGTCGTGTTCTTAGTCTTTTTACAAATGTTTGCTTTCGTTCGGCTCCACACTATGGCCTGCTGTTACAACCACCTCCATTATTCAGCAGATCTTTGTCTAAACTACGACTATCAGACACAAAAAAACACTTTTCTTCAAAACGCAAGCGCATTTATTCAAAACATATTTTCTGTTAAAGTATTTTTCATGAACTCTTTTATATTATACGTATGTTTCTAGGCTCTGTTTATATGTATATTTTTTATTCCAAGATTCATCCTTGTAAATCCTGCGACGGCGCTTGAACTATGAGTATCGGTATTATTTTTTCATTGGATCATTTCAGTGATGTGGGGGGAGAGAGAGAGAGAGTTAGAGAGAGAGAAAGAGATAGAGAGAGAAAAAGAGAGAGAGAGAAAGACAGAGAGAGAGGGAGAAAGAGAGAGAGAAAGACACAGAGAGAGAGGGAGAAAGAGAGAGATAGAGAGAGAGAAAGAGATAGAGAGAGAGAAAGAGAGTGAGAGAGAGAGATAGAGAGATAGAGAGAGAGAGAGAGAGTATATCGATAAAAGTCGCCCATTTTCCCATATCTGTCTACCCCCTGACTTGTGTCCTTGAGATAGAGGAAAAGACAGAAAACAAAGTGGACGCTGTAGATAAACTCAATAGTCCCCGGGAACTTGCTGATGCTTATGGAGAATCAACATTTTGTTACGATTTAATTTTTTTTTTTTTGTTGTTGTTGTTGTTTTCTTTTAAAATCTTGGTAAAAATTGTTGAGACCAGGTTACTTTCTGAGCTGGTATTTGAAATTCTAATAAATCCATCTAATGATAATTTTTGTACACTTAGAATTTGCTGTATTTTTTTTTTTTTATTGATCAGCAATTCGTTTTCCTTGCATCTGCAGGTGATGAATATTTTCGCTTGATTGGTTGTATGATAAGAAACTGAAGTGGCAAAAACTAAAATACAGTAACTGAGAGTGCGTTGCTTCATAGAGATGAATCGAAAAATTAATTCTGACTTTTGCTAGGACTATCCATTAACTCTAGTTGTGTGTGTTACGTGCATTTAGTGCGTTCGACAATATATGATCATTGGCATTCAAGACTGCCATAATCTAATTAGGTGTTAGTTAGCTACCTAGATAGATAGATATGAAGAGACATGGTAACAGATAAAGAAATTAGATAGATAGATAGATAGATAGATAGATAGATAGATAGATAGATAGATAGATAGATAGATGGACAGACAGACAGACAGACAGACAGGCGGACAGATAGATAGATAGATAGATAGATAGATAGATAGATAGATAGATAGATAGATAGATGGACAGACAGACAGACAGGCGGACAGATAGATAGATAGATAGATAGATAGATAGATAGATAGATAGATAGATAGATATGAATACCCTAATTAACAGATAGACAGGTAGGTACACAGATAGATATGAAGAAACATGTTAACTGACAAATAAATGACTAATTAGATAGATAGATAGATAGACAGACAGGCGGATAGAGTGATTAACAGGCAGACAGACAAATAGATAGATAGATAGATAGATAGATAGATAGATAGATAGATAGATAGATATGAATACCCTAATTAGCAGATAGATAGATAGATAAATAGATAGATAGATATGAATACCTTAATTAACAGATAGACAAACAGATACACATATAGATAGATATGAATTCCCTAATTAACATATAGATAGATAGATAGATAGATAGATAGATAGATAGATAGATAGATAGATAGATAGGATAGGATAGGTTAGGTTAGGGTAGGGTGGGATAAATTACCTCAGAAAGAACGAGAAAAACAATAGTGATGGGAATTTTTTATTTTAATCCTCAAACAAAGCGATCAGAAATCGTTGTGCTAGAATATCAGTAGATATGTCTCGGGACACTGATCGTAGACTTCTGCTTCTCGTAACATTAAAGTTAGCCAAGTCTGTCACAAGAAACCAACACGGATCAGTGAGTGAAAAGATTGCTAATATAATTTGTTTTATTGCCTGACTAACAAAGGAGAACTGAGCAGACGTAATATCGACACCGCAGTCATAAATTGTTGATTCAGGATCACTTGACTTTAGCAACACAAACGGACATATTCGCCCTCGCTCTAGCTCTGTTCTTTTTACTATGTAGATAAACTATCGGATTTATCACTATTCAATACTCCAGATCACCCCATTCACACAGAAAATACTGTATTAGAACTATGTATAATGTTAAAGACATTAAACGAATTTATTACAGTATCTTGCACGTAAAAATACGTAATTACTCATGCGACATAAGTTAAAATTGTAGATTCATCCATAATATCAGTAAGTCATTTCGACATTTGAAAGGCAGTAAAATAACACCAAAGACGGAACAGAGTCATATTTTAAAAAGCATGAGTAAAACAATAAAAATTATGAGTAAAAAAAAATAAATTATAGAACAATTTATTAAGTGTGTTATTTAAAAAGCATACCATTCCTGCCTGCCATTAGAATGTCTGAGGCTCAACTTCTCGAGAGTACCTCTTTGCGACTATTAGGTCTCACATTGGCTGCTGACCTGAGATGGAACAAATACATTGAGTCAATAGCTTATCAGAGTGAGTTTTCCGTGCTGCCTCACCTTCGTAATCATCATCAGACTCATCCAACTCTTTCCGAATCACCGCAAGGAAAGTTGGCTCTCTGTGACGCGCCAGGAAATTTTTCTCGCCCGGGTCGATCCTTCAAATCTACAAATCAACAATTCGCCCTTGCATGGAGTATTGCTGCCATATATGGTCTGGAGCACCTTCTAATTGTCTCAAAGTCCTTCATAAAATCCAGAGACTGAATGCAATATAATTGACCCTGATCTGGCATCTCGTCGACAGTGGCTCTCTCACAGACATGCCGTCACCTCACTCTGTCTTTTTTTTACAAATACTTTCATGGTAACTGCACCGATGAGCTCCAGACTTCAAGAATTTAAGCGTTCAACTAGGCTGGCATCTCGCTCACACCCTTTCACTGCCGAAGCTGTTAAATGTAGCCGTCTCTTCTACTTCAATAGCTTCATGCCACGCACCTTTCGCCCGTGGAACTCCCTCCCCTCTTCCTGTTTCCCTGATAGCTATAATCTCCAACTATTTAAATGTAATGTCAATTGACGTCTCCAGATTCCTTGATCTATCCCCTATCCTTCTCTTCATCCTTTCCTCTATCACTCTTATTTGCTCTCGATCCAGTTCTCTGTAACCCCTTGCGTGCTAGTGGTTTCATGCCTTGTTTGGGGTGAAACGCTTAAAAAAATGTAATATGCTGAATATTTTGAAATATTTTCAAATTAAATGATTAGATTAAAATCACAATAAAAATTTACTTACCAAAATATTAAAGTTTCTTTCTGCAGTTATGTGCAGTATAACAACCTCGTTCAATGAACTGTTTTAGTAACATTGACATGAGATGACTAGTAGTAAAATATACAGGGTGCGATGGGTAAATTGTCGGCATTATATATTTTTAATTTCGCGCATATTCATTGTTTTTTTTGTTTTTTTTAATCGACTGGCCAGTATAGTAGGGTAAGTTAGGCACCGTCTGTGAGAAAAAGGGCACTATGGCACAATTCACTCCACCAGAAATTTGGAAACGGTATGCTGTACCTCTTGCCATTCGCACCAGAAGCTCCGATATGAACATTTCAGAGAGTTTGGTTGTCAATCTGAGGACAGTGCAGCGGATTCGGAAAGAGTTGGATGAGTCTAATGATGATTACGAAGGTGAGGCGGCACGGAAAACTCACTCTGATCGTTATGATAAGAAAAGAACTCCCGAATTGGTTGGCAAGAGTCTCAGACTCAGCACGGAGGCGTACGCCAATGTCTTGAGGAGATAGTGATGCCCTGGGTTAAGAGGCTCTCTGCTGGAAGACCATATATCTGGCAACAGGACATTGCACCATGCCACACAATTAGGGGAACCCAGTCATCACCGTCAGTCAATTTCTGCGAATGCATCACCTCTTACATCTTGTCACATAACTCCCCAAACTGGAAGCCCCTTGATTACCATGTGTGAGGCGCAGCTGAGCGAGAGGCCAGCAAAACTTTTTGTAACACCAAAGATGAACTGAAGGCAAGAATTATGACAACATTCATCGACTTAAACAAGGAGACCATACAGAAGAGTTGCAGGAGATTCCGAAGTTGTCTGGAGGCCGTGGTTGAAGCGAATGACGATTTAATGGAATAAATTTACGCTTTCGTTTGTCAAGATATTTTTGTGCAATTTTAGTAAATATATCTGTTAAAATGAAATTTCACTATCGTTTTCACGTAATTTGCGTAATTTAGCCCACAATGTATACATTGCACCCTATATATATATATATATATATATATATATATATATATATATATATATATATATATATATATAAATATATATATATATATATGAATCTACAGAAATAGGGATGACTTGCTTAGACTGTACCCAGGTATGTCTTTAGAGAGCCAGTTGCCTGAGAGTAAGCTCTGAGAGTTACGTCGAATCGGTGAGAACAATCAGGAATTGCTATACATTATTAGCGACGTGGAACCTCAACTATTTATGAAGAGTAAAGGTTTTTACACTTTCAAGAAAACAACAGTGGAATAACAAAAGTCATAAGATGAAGAATTATCATTACTTCATTTTCATTAGTACATATTAATATAATAACATATAATTTGGCTCAGTATAACTACAAAAATTAGCATAAAATGTCCAATTGACATTGCAAAGTTAAATATAGGGTGGCTCGGTTTTTTGATGACACATCATTTAATAGTTTTAAGAATGTTTTTCTAATGTGTTCTGATTATCATTTGACAACAAACATAAAGCTAACTCGCTAAATAAAAGACACACTGCCTAAAAGGCAGTGCATAGTGATTTAGAGATTGCCCGCTTTCCGAAAGTTGCACAGTCGTTTCTTATCGAAGATCGTAAAGAGCTGGAAGCCGATGACGATAATTCTACAGATCTAACCAAAACTAAAACGCCTGTCTAGGTTCTAATACCATCAGGATACCAATATTTGTTGGAAAAATAAAGAATATCATCAATGAACCCCAGAAAATCAACACCGTTGCTAAAAGCTCAATGTTTCAAGAAACTCTATTGGATGAACTGTGTTTGAGGACATTACATACAATTTTTATTTGATGAGGAAAGACTAATTTATATCAGCAAAGACAAAATGTAAACAAAGGTATGACGTCATCATTCCTCTCCCGCCAATAATAAATGTATCACTAAGTAATTATTATCTCGACAAAAAAATATCTTGCAATCTGAAATATATTTTCTTGGTTTAAATAAACTGCAAATGGTTGATAAGCCGTAGAATATGAATCAATCAATCAATTAAGATTATTCACGTCAATTCTTCTCAAATAAGGTTCTTCTTTCATGACTTACGTTCTTTCATGCAAATGTCCTGCAAGAATTGGGCAACATTTGATTTGATAATATCTCCTAATATATCTGAAAGAGAACAGTCTACACGAAGGATTGAATAAAAGGTAATAAATGGTTTCGAATCTCCAAGAAGGTTTCTCAGTACGACAGAACAAAAATAAAAACTGAAGATTATATAAGAAAATTTATAACTATGGCTACCAAAGAGAGAATAAGAATTTGATTAATTGTTATATAGTAACAATAAAAAGAAACATTTTTATAAAATGTTTAAAATTATAACACACCCAATTTTCAAAATACAAATGTTATATACTTTTTGGTTAATGGTTTCAATCAAAGAAGCTAACCTTATGATTCTTTCAACTAACTTTGTAAAATGACATATGCCTTCAGGACGTAAATGATTATGACACTCTACAGACTTCTTTTCTTTATCATCTTTGAATGTCCACGTCTTCTTTGGTTTGACATTCATGGCTTTACTTCTTATTGGCACTCCGATAGCAGGTTCGTCTCGCTAGTTCAATTACAGGTGAATAGCGAGTTGCATCATCATTGATTGCCCATATTTGTATTTGTGCCAACCTACGCTTATATATATATATATATATATATATATATATATATATATATATATATATATATATATATATATATATATATATATATATATATATATATATATAAGTGAACATTCAAAACTCAGAGGCCACAGGCTGTTTCATTCTGGACGCAATCGTCAGGCCGCCTGAATCGAATAAAAAGATTGCGTCCAGCATGAAACAGCCTGTCAACTCTGAGTGTTTACTTCAATATTCACTTTTATATTTATATTTACATACGCTCTATCTCTTATATTGAGAAATTTATCTATTTCTTCATATATATATATATATATATATATATATATATATATATATATATATATGTGTGTGTGTGTGTGTGTGTGTGTGTGTGTGTGTGTGTGTGTGTGTGTGTGTACTTCTCTTAGAGTGAAAAATAAAAAAATAAATATGCTGCTCCTTAGAACATAGCTTGCAGGAGAATAGATACATCCATTCTTTTTCCCAAAAGTTTTAATGGGAAAATATATACAACAGATTAGGTCGGAATTTCAACTGAGTTCCATTTCCTGCATCGGTAACCGTTACAATACACACAACTATAAGAATGACAGAAATAAGCAATTATTTCTCTGGCAGAAGAATATTGGTAAGGTCAACCGGCAGTATATCGTCACATGTAATGAACAGAAAATTAATTGATGCTTAAAAAAGAAAATGACATTTTAATATACCTGAGTACATTCCAAAAGATTATAAATCCTAAAAGTCTTTTTTTAAACGTTGAAAATGAAAGAAATAAAAATAATGATAAAATAAAACGCGAATCTTAGTCTTTTCTTAGAAAATATAAAAAATGCTATGACTATCATCGTGGGTGGAGAAAAATAAATACCAAATCTGCAAATTAAATTATGTGCAGATAAACCTGTTCAGACATATTTATAGAAAATCGTCTATATACTAGTAACTTAATATGAGCTGCTTCCTTTTGGTGCTTTCTGTCGATGCGTCTTATTAACGGTTTTTCTTTCTGTCCA